GTTTGGGAAAGCAGTAGAAGATGGTCCAAGTCCTTGGGCCCCTGCACCCACATGGGAGACCTGGAAGAAGCTCCTGGCTCCTGGCTTCGGAACAGCGCAGTTCCAGACATTGCGGTCAATTGGGGAGTGAACCAGCGAATGGAAGACCTCTCTCCCTCTCTCTCTCTCTCTGCCTCTCCTCTCTCTGTATAACTATGACTTTCAAATAAATCTTTAAAAAAAAAGCAAAAAATAAAAATAAATAAATGAAATAGAATTAAAAAAACATAAGAGATTAATGAAATGAAATTAAAAACTTGAGCTACACTATAGAAAAAAAGAAGACAAATCAAAGACAGGGACAGGTATTTGGCACAGTGGTTAAGTTGCCAAATAGGACACGCAAAACCCAAGAGAATACTTGATTCAAGTGTCTGCTCCTCTTTTTTTTTTAATATTTATTTTATTTGTTTGAAAACAGACTTACAGAGAGAGGCAGAGACAGAGAGACAGGTCTTCCATCCTCTGGTTCACTCCCCAGATGGCCACAATGGCCAGAGCTGCACTGTTCCGAAGCCAGAAGCCAGGAGCTTCTTCGGGTCTCCAACGTGGGTGCAGGGGCCCAAGGACTTGGGCCATCTTCTACTGCTTTCCCAGGCCATAGCAGAGAGCTGGATTAGAAGAGGAGCAGTCAGGACTTGAACCAGCGCCCATATGAGATGCTGGTGCTTCAGGTCAGGGCTTTAACCCGCTGTGCCACAGCACTGGCCCCTGCTCCTCTGCTTTTAATCCAGCTTTCTGCTTATATGATCCTGAAGGCAGCAGATGATGGTTTAAGAACTTAGGTCCCTGTCACCAATGTGGAAGACCTGAATTGAAATCCAGTCTGGCAAGAATGTAGAGAAAAGGGAACCCTAACACAGTGTTGGTGGAAATGCAAATTAGTTTAGCCACAAAGAATAGTACAGTAGCTTTTTCAAAAAACTATAAGTAGCTACCATAAAACCCGACTGTCTCACTTCTGAATGTATAAACAAAGGAAATGACATCAGCATATAAAAATACACCCACACTCTTAAGTTTGCTGTAGCACTATTCATATGAGCCAAGATATAAAATTATCAAAGTCCCCATCAGTAATTGAATGGGTAAAGAAAATATGGTATGCATATATGAATAATGAATTATTATTCAGTTACAAAAAGGAATTAATTTTCACATCTGCAGCAAAATGGAACAAACTAAAGACCATTATGTTAAGTGAAATTACCCAGACACAGAAAGACAAATACTGCATGTTTTCTCCCAAGTGATAGTTTAAGTATATATACACAAACATACATGATATAAATCTAAAACAGCAATTTCTAAATGCTAGAAAGGATGGAGGAAGTGAAGGTTGATTTGATAATGGGTACCAAAATGCAACTGGGTGAAACTAACGGGTTCTGGTATTCTGCAGGACTGTAGGTCATGACAAAGAAAATGAAAGAGATACTTGCCTAGCACAATTGATTAATGCTTCGTATTTGTGTTGAAATATTGTACTGTACCCCACAAAAACAAACAGGTATTTCATGTGTATCCAAAATTTAAAAAATAAAAAGTAAATTTTTAAAATTAACATTAAAAGTATTTTTTCATTATATAGTCTTCAGATCCATAATTTTAAATAGCTATATATCAGTAGCTCTCTTCTTGGTAGATAGGTAAGGTTCAAATCAATTATCAGAAAAATACAAAGCGGCCAACTGAACTTGCCTCTAAGCTTGTGTTCAATAAGAAATAAATAAAATATAGGATTGACAAAAAATAAAGGACAAAAATAGCTTAGAGCCTGAGGTCTGTCACTAGCCTTCCACTTGCAATCAACACCTCTCTTTTCACACTGTCTCATCTTCACTAGCCTCCTTTTCATTAGTTAATGGAACTATAAAGGGACCACTACAGAAAAGGAAGAACTACAATGGCAAATTTTGTTCCACATATTATTCTTTTATTCAGTTCCCAAATTTAAAACTTTATAAATAAATGTGAAAGGATGATGGTTAAGCTTCATGTGCCCTATGCAGTTCTTGCATCTGTTATGTAACAAATTATCAAAGATACTGAACATTTAATCAGCATCTTAATATGGACTGAATTAAAAATCACCATTAAAATGAGGTAAAATTTGCAGGTTCAAAAAAATACTAGTATGTTGAACTAGTTTTAGTCAGAAACATAGTTACACTGAAACTTGTATCAAATTGGTTTTAGACATGCCTTAGATTTGTAGCTTCTTGAAAACTATATTGGGCTGTGGCATTTTCAAATGCAATTAACATTTTGCTTTTAAATAAAGATGTATACATTTTGTAAGTATTTAAAGAAATTCAGGGCAGATGTTATGGAATTAAGTGGGGTTAAACTGTTGCCAGCAATGTCAGCATCCCATATCAGACCATGGGCCTGAGTCCTGACTTCACTTCAGATCCAGCTTCCCACTAATGTGCCTGGAAAATCAACAGAAGATGGCCTAAGTGCTTAAGTTCCTAATACCCAAGTGGGAGACCAGAATGGAGTTTCAGATTTCTAACTTCAGTCTGGCCCAGTCATAGCTGTTGCAGCCATTTGAGGAGTGAACCAGCAGACAGAAGATTTCTGTTTCTCCCCCTCTCCTCCTCTATCACTCTGCTTTTCAAGTAAATAAATAAATCTTGTTTTACAAAGAACTGGCTGGCACTGTGGTATAGAGGGTTAAGCTTCTGTCTGCAGTGCCAGTATCCCATATGGATGCTGGTTCGAGTCCTGGCTGCTCCACTTCTGATCCAGAAGTACAAATCAGCTGGGAAAGCAACAGAGGGATGGCCCAAGTGCTTGGGCCCCTCAGCCCACGTGGTAGACCTGAAAGAAGCTCCTGGTTTGGGTCTGGCCCATCCCTGGCCATTGCAGCCATTTGGGGAATGAATCAGTGGATGGAAGATTTCTCTTTCTCACTCTCCATCTCTCTTTGTATTTCTGCCTTTCAAATAAATAAATAAATAAGTCTTTCAAAAAGAGAATGTTAAAAAAACAATCGTACTTTTTAAATAATTATTTAAATGAATTCATATTGTTTATAAATTCAAATCAGCCATTTTCCAATTTATACTAGTAAGCATTGTCATATTTTAATACTTCAAAATTGAATATATGGAAATTGTTCCCTCTAACATTTTTTAAAATTTTTTTTTATTTTTATTTATTTGAAAGACAGAGTTACAGAGAGGTAGAGACAGATAGAGAGATCTTCCATCTGCTGGTTCACTCCCCAGTTAGTCGCAAAGGCCAGAGCTGCACTGATCTGAAGCCAGGAGCTTCTTCCAGGTCTCCCACTTGGGTGCAGGGGCCCAAGGACTTGGGCCATCGTCTACTGCTACTCAGGCAATAGCAGAGAGCTGGATCGGAAGAGGAGCAGCCAAGACTAGAACCAGCACCAATCTGGGATGCCAGTACTTCAGGCCAGGACTTTAACCTGCTGCACCACAGCACTGGCCCCTCTTATATTTAATGGGCAACTCTGACCTATACTGATCATCAAACTTACTCTATGATATTCAGTAACACAAGGATAAGTTCCTGTTCTTATAAATACTATGTAAGCCATTTCCTTTTCTTCTAGAATTAAAATCATACTGCTATACTTCAAAACAAAACAAAAACAAACATCAGTTTGGATTTCTATTGAAAGAGCACTTAAAAATTAGATATCATAATAATGGATTCTTTGGTAACTTCAGTGTTCCAGTGAAATGTATCTACTCTAAAGAGAAATCTATGGTACATAATTTTAGTTAGGGATAGACAGATATTATAATTAGAACTCAAGTATAAAAATAACTCAGGGGCTGGTACTATGGTGTAGCAGGTAAAGCCGCCGTTTGCAGTGCCAGCATCCCATATGGGTGCTGGTTCATGTCCCGGCTGCTCCACTTCCAATCCATCTCTCTGCTATGGCTTGGGAAAGCAGTAGGAAATGGCCCCTGCACCCATGTGGGAGACCTGGAAGAAGATCCTGGCTCCTGACTTCGGATTGGCACAGCTCTGGTCATTGTAGCCAATTAGGGAATGAACCAGTGGGTCAAAGACCTCTCTCTCTCTTTCTCTCTCTGCCTCTGCTTCTGCCTCTCCTTCTCTCTCTGTGTAACTCTTTCAAATAAATAAACAAAACTTTAAAAAAAAAAAAAACTTCAAGATATACCAAGAAGTAACAAAAATGTATATGAGGAAATATTGATAACCGTCTTCAGAAGCTAACTAGAATGAAATGAGTTGTCAGTTATAGCTATAAAATATCTAATGAATTGAAAATACATACCCAACATACTGATATTTGCTTTCAGACTACTCGCAAAATATAGATTTAAGATTACCCTGTCATGAGATCCCATGATAAGATTCTTTAATTATCTTACCTAGTCTTATAAACAGTGCTCAGCAAACATTTATAGGCTTTAATTTATTCTGATACCTAGCCCAAGGCAGATTTATTTAAGTTCTCCTTTAGTGATGTTCTCATTTTTTATGCATGTGAAAACATATCTGATGGCCAGCGCCGCGGCTCAATTGACTAATCCTCTGCCTAGTGGCGCCAGCACACTGGGTTCTAGTCCCGGTCGGGCGCCAGGTTCTGTCCCGGTTGCCCCTCTTCCAGGCCAGCTCTCTGCTGTGGCCAGGGAGTGCAGTGGAGGATGGCCCAGGTGCTTGGGCCCTGCACCCCATGGGAGACCAGGAGAAGCACCTGGCTCCTGCCTTCAGATCAGCATGGTGCGCTGGCTGCAGCGCGCCGGCCGCGGTGGCCATTGGAGGGTGAACCAACGGCAAAGGAAGACCTTTCTCTCTGTCTCTCTCTCACTGTCCACTCTGTCAAAAAAAAAAAAAAAATACCTGCTAGCCATTCAAGTATTTTTTAAAATCTCTCCCTCCATAATATATAAGTATACTGGTATTAGAGTAGCATAATTAAAGCAATGATCTATTAATAAAAAGATAATACTCACCACAAGCTTTAGAAGCAGCAACACAAATTTCTTCTGCAACATACTCCCCCGTTGGGAAGATGAGATAATCTCCCTCAGCTTTCCCGAGTGAATGGTAAAGATACACCTGAAGGACTGGATCTATCTGTTTCACAGAATTAGGATTTCCAGGAATATCACCATTCTGATGCATAGGAGTTGTAGATGTTTCTTCCATTTCTGTCATTGTGAGACAAGCCATTCCCATGAAGAGTCTTTTTCAGAACATTTGCCTTTAAGAGAAAACAATGAAGTTAAAATCAAAGTGATACTGCTGAAGTATCCTTCATATACAAACAAGTTTTTTTGGTACTGGCATTGAGTTGTAATGGATTAAGCTCCACATGCAACACCGGAAATATATAGGCACCAGTTCAAGTCTCAGCTGCTCCACTTCTGATCAAGCTCCCTGCTAAAGCACCTGGGAAAGTAGCAGAAGATGGCCCAAGTCACTGGGACACTGCACCGCTGTGGGAGACCCAGATGAAGCTCCTGGCTTCAGCCTGGCCCAGCCCTACCATTGTGGCCATTTGAAGAGAGAACCAGCAGATGGAAGATTTCTCTCTCTCTCTTTCTCTCTCTCTTTCTCTCTCTCTCTCTCTCCTCCTCTCTCCCTCTTTTTCTCTACCTCTCTAACTCTGCCTTTCAAATAAATAAATATTTTTTTTTGAGAGGCAGAGTGGACAGTGAGAGAGACAGAGAGAAAGGTCTTCCTTTGCCGTTGGTTCACCCTCCAATGGCCGCCACGGTCGGCGCGCTGCAGCCAGTGCACCATGCTGATCTGAAGCCAGGAGCCAGGTGCTTTTCCTGGTCTGCCATGGGGTGCAGGGCCCAAGCACCTGGGCCATCCTCCACTGCACTCCCTGGCCACAGCAGAGAGCTGGCCTGGAAGAGGGGCAACTGGGACAGAATCCGGCGCCCCGACCGGGACTAGAACCTGGGGTGCCAACGCCACAGGCGGAGGATTAGCCAATTGAGCCGCGGCGCCGGCCAAAATAAATATTTTTTTAAAAAGGACTCTTATTAACATCAGTGATTCTATCAAATTCATTAACTAAACAAATAGTCTACTACACCATACAAAGCACAGTGCAAGAAATCAGATTATAAACTTTATGTGTGGGGCTGGCACTGTGGCACACAGGTTATTGCCCTGGCCTGAAGTGCCAGCATCACATATGGGCGCTGGTTCGAGTCCTGGCTGCTCCTCTTCCCATTCAGCTCTCTGCTATGGCCTGGGATAGCAGCAGAAGATGGCACAAGTCCTTGGGTCCCTGCACCCACATGGGAGACCTGGAAGAAGCTCCTGGCTCCTGACTTCGGATCAGCACCGCTCCAGCCATTGCAGCCATCTGGGGAGTGAGTCAGCAGATGGAAGACCTCTCTCTGTCTTTACCTCTCTCTGTAACTCTGTCCTCAAATAAAATAAAATAAATCTTTAAAATAAATAAAAAAACAAACTTTATGTGGATATCCCTGACCTGAGGAACCATAACATAATTATGTACCATTATCAAAACAATACACTGGGGCCGGCATTGTGGCACAGCGAGTTAAGCCACTGCTTGCAAGCCTGGCATCCCATATCCAAGTGCCAGTTAGAGTCTTGGTTGGTCCATTTCCAACCCAGCTCCCTGCCAATGCACCTAGGAAAGCAGCGGAAGATGGTCCAAGTGCTTGGGTCTCTGCCACCAACATGAGAGAACTAATGTTCTGGGCTCCTGGCTTCAGCCTGGACAAACCTCCCAGCTACAGCAGCCGTTTGAGGAGTGAACCAGCAAATGGAAGGAATCTACTTCTCTCTCTCTCTCTGCCTTTCAAATAAATAAGTCTTTTAAAAAAGAATCCACAAAGATTAGTTAACAACAATAGAAGAAGAGATCTCATGAAGCAACATGATCACTCAACAAATGAGTAATTCTAACAGTTGTTTATTGGTGTCTGGAGGAGGAAAACTATTTTAAGATGGGAATACTCTGATGAATTTTATTAGAAAATGTAAGATTTTTTAACTGACCTTGAAAAATGCAAAATCCTTGAAAAAATGGACTTAGATGAAGAGAGGAAGGACATTCTAGGAGAACAGGACAGCAATGAAGCATTAAAAGAAGTGAAATACATAACGTACTTGGGCTGAATTGAAGTATATGAAAAGTCATACCAGTGAAAAAAGATTCACAATACAGATGGATATTTGTGGCAAGATTCTATCTACCTACCTATTATACATTTTCCCCTTTCTTCCTGCCAAATTTTGTTAGAGACAGTTACATGTTCAACAAAAAACAACAAAACAGCTCTTCCCACAAATGGATAGCTACCTATGTGAATCAGTTTCAGCAAATGAAATTTAAGTGGAAGCCATGGAGTAGTTCTTTGAGGACTATCCTTAGAAGGAGGCTGACTATGCTGATTTGATCTGTTTGCTTTTTCCCCAGAGCAGTCACCTCAAAACCATGAGACAACCATGAAAGAAATGCCAAGAAAATAACAGCTGTAGCTTGCTTTAAGCAGCTGAATCAATGTCAAGAAACACCTACTGACCACCAGACATCTTGCTACTTGCAAATGAATGCCAATTATAGCTAACAGTATAAAATTCAGGAAGGAAAGAATTCAATGTTAGACCAAGGAATTTAAAGTCTACCCCATGGGAAATAAGCTAGAAAGGTGAATGGATGAACAGATAGAAAGCTACTACAATAGTTAGGCAACAGTAAGATCCTGAACCAAAATAGAAACAACTGGACAGTGAGAGGTGACACAAGGGTATTTCAAAAGATTAGTGGAAAAATGGAAACAAAAATGTATCTAGGTGCAAAACAAAATTTGAACTTTATACATAATTTTTTACATAATTTGCATTTTCCATGAACATTCTGAGGACCCTACATATGCATGGATTTTTTGTACCAAAATAAACTTATCTTTTATTTCACTTTCCATAAACTTTTTAAAGCCACCTTGTATAAAAGATACCTGGTGACTAAATGAATATGGAAGATCTCAGGGGAATGAAAAATACTGGGCAGATTTGAAACTTGGGAGAGCTATAATACCACTAAGAGAAATAAGGGAGTGAGAAGAGCAACTCCCCTTGATACAGGAAGGTGAAGAGAATAAGAACAACTATTTGATACATTTTCACTTAGGAATGGTAGTTGGGAAATTATCCCAGCTGGTCACTAACTTGTGAAACTGGTACTTGGAGAAAGTTCATGACGAGAGATGAAAATCTGGGGTCAGTGTTCTGGTGAAGCAGGGAAAGCAGCCACCTGCAATGCCAGCATCCCATATGGGCTCCAGTTTGAGGCCTGGCTGTTCAACTTCCAATTCAGCTCCCTGCTAATGTGCCTAGGAAAAGCAGCAGAGGATGGCCCAGGTGCTTGGGCCCCGCCACTCTTGTGAGAGACATGGAGGAAGCCCCTGGCTCCTGGCTTCAGCCAGTCCCAGTCCTGGCTGTTGAAACCATCTGGTAAGTGAACCAGTGGATAGAAAACCTCTCTCTGTCTCTCCCCCCTCTCTGCACTTTGGTTTTTAAATAAATAAATAAATCTTTAAAAAAAGAGAGTGAGATGAAAATTTGACAACTCTCTCCCTAGATGTAATTGTGAACAGAAGGAATGGATGGAAATAATATCAAATACACTCACATAGCATTTAGTATATGCCAAGCTCTCTTCTAAGTGCTACAGATACAAAGGAAGGAAAAATAACTATTAAGTGAATTACAACAAGTAACATAATCCTACATTCAACTATAAGGATCTTGTTCTATTAGAATTAATCTTTAGTTATTCAAATAATATCTTATAGAGCTTCCAGGGCAGAAAACAAAACAGGGGCTGGCAATGCAACACAGCAGGTTAAACTACAACAGGCAACACTGGCATCCCATAAAGGAGTGCCAGATGGAGTCCCAGCTGCTCCACTTTTAATGCAGCTACCTGTTAATACACCTAGGAAAGCAGCAGAAGACGGCCCTAGTACTTGGGCCCCTACCACCTACATGTGAGACTCAGAGGGAATTCCTGGCTCCTGGCTTTGGCTTGCTTGGTTCAGCCCCAGCTGTTACGGCCATTTGGGGAGTGAAATGGAGGATCCTCCCCCAGCTCCACTCTGTGACTCTACCTTTTTGAGAATTTAATATTTAAAAAAAAAAAACTTTGTGTCATAAAAAATAAATAAAAAAAAAACCAAAACTGGTAATTGTTAAAACAAACAAAACTGCAAGAATTTTGGAATTCACTAACAATTGGAAATACAACTTTTAAAAACTTATTTCTGCAAAAATACCTAAGTTTTAAAATGTTTCTCATAATCTATTACACTATCATTTTTTGTTCATTAGAGTCAAATGCAGCAAAATCAGTTCTAAGGGGAAACTTCATGGCAATAAATACCTATATTAAAAAAGAAAGATCATAAACATTACTCTTCAGGAGGCACAGGGTGGCCTCTAGGATGCCAGTAATATTCTATTTATTGATCTAAGTAGTTGTTATTACAGTATTGCTCATGTTATGAAAATTCACCAAGCTATGCACTTAAGAATATGTTATATTTCAATTAAAGGTTTACTTAAATTTTTAAATTTTATATGTAGTAAATTCATGTTTCAAAAAATTTTTTAAAGATGTATTTATTTGAAAGGCAGAGTTACAGAGAGGTAGAAGCAGAGAGAGAGAGATCTTCCATCTGCTGCTTCACTCCTCAACTGGCTGCAATGGCTGGAGCTGGGCCCATCTGAAGCCAGGAGCCAGGAGGTTCTTCCAGGTCTCCCACATGGGTGCAGGGGCCCAAGGACTTGGGCCATCTACTGGTTTCCCAGGCCACAGCAGAGAGCTGGATCAGAAGTGGAGCAGCTGGGACTTGAACTGGCACCCATATGGGATGCCGGCACTGCAGGAGGCAGCTTTACTTGCTATGCCACGAGGCCAGCCCCCATGTTTCAATTTTTAATTGTGTTAACTTTATTAGAACTCGATTTCTTCAAGTATGTTGAAATCTGGTTTGCAGGTTCTTTTCACCATTCCACACATTCCCTCATCCCCAACATACAAACACACTCTGTAGTCACACCTACCACCACCACCACAGTCTGACAATTTGTGGTTGCTTCCAACTAGCCTGTCTGGCTATGTATAAGTAAGCACAGCACCAGGTCTCACAATAGAAGGTTAAAATTTCTGCCCTGAAGGTCTCAGATATGATGCAGACCCACTAATAATGCTGAAAATAGTTGCTTTATATTGTTGCAAAATCTGCATCATCTCACCACCCTAATCCTGAAAATTACCCCAAACTATAGCAGGCAATATTTGAGAAGAGATTCCCTTCCTGATAGCCTATTTAAGGGAATTGATGGCTAGCAGTTAAAACAGTAGTGACCTGCCTCTATGTCCATGTTATACCACAACTGCCAAACTCCTTGTCTCAAAGTACCTGTTTTTACACAAGGAACCCAGCAACCACAGGCTTTAATCCCTCTCATTATTTTGCATTTATACTGCCTAAGTATACGCAGCTTGATCCACTGTTGTGCAGGATATATACTTTTTGGTTTCCCTTTTTTATATTTGAATATGACACATTATATATTTAGGACAGAAAGGAGATCACACTGCCTTAAATATATATACAAACTCAGAACTCTACAGTCACTCAAAAGATGTTTGCTTAATTAAATTATACTCACTATTTTAGAAAATCCACTGATTCTTTTCGACATAGAATCAAAGGCATAAGTGACTTAAGTTGGCCTTTTTCTATAAGTGCACAAAAAAAAAAAAAGTATATGATGATTACGACCACAGTTGTTGATATTGGTATCACTGCTTTGACTTGTGCTAAGGTACCTGTGGTTTTACTTACTAGTATTTTTTACACCTCCTATGGAATATGTAAACACAGTGAAAGACTTTTTTTTTTTTTTTGACAGACAGAGTGGACAATAAGAGAGAGACAGAGAGAAAGATCTTCCTTTTCCATTGGTTCACCCCACAATGGCCGCTGCGGCCGGTGCACCGTGCTGATCCAAAGCCAGGAGCCAGGTGCTTCTCCTGGACCCCCATGCGGGTGCAGGGCCCAAGCACTAGAGCCACAGCAGAGAGCTGGACTGGAAGAGGAGCAACCGGGACAGAATCCAGCACCCCGATCGGGACTAGAACCCAGGGTGCCGGTGCCGCAGGCGGAGGATTAGCTTAGTGAGCCTCGGCACCAGCCAGTGAAAGACATTTAAGAATCATAGTAATTTATATCTCAGCATTGTTATAAAATTCATTTTAATTTTACTTGAATGATTTTTGAGGACCCCCAGTAATTGCCAGAGGCCACACTTTGCATCTGCAATTCTACTCCTAGTTACACACCCTACAGAAACTCATGCATATGTATACCAATTATATGTTACAATATTCATGTGCCTCAGTTTCCAATGGCAAAAGAAAAACTGGAGGGGCCAGCGCCAGCATCCCATATGGGCGCTGTTCAAGGCCCAGCTGCTCCATTTCCAATCTAGCTCCCTGCTGACAGCCTGAGAGAGCAATGAAAAATGGCCCAAGTGTTTAGGCCCTGCACCCACATAGGTGACCTGGAGGAACTTCCTGGCTTCTGGCTTTGAATTGACCCAGTTCCAGCCATGGTGATCATTTGGGGAGTGAACCAGTGGTTGGAAGACCTCTCTCTCTCTGTCTCCCCCCCCCTCTCTGTAACTCTGCCTCTCAAATAAATAAATCTTTTAAAAAGAAAATTGAAAAGAAAAAAAACTGAAAATAACCCAAATTATCAGGAAAATGGGCAAATACTTTGATACATTTGCACTACACAGTATGCTCCTCAATTGCTGAAATAAATGAACTACAGTTTTATGCAACGTAGATAAATCTCAGAAATACAAAATTGTAAAAACCATGTATTTTAGAAGACCATAAACAGTAAAATAAGAATTGTTAAAAATCCAAAGACAAGCAAAACTGAATAGTATATTGTTTAGGTTTGTACATCTGTTACACAAACAAAAAAATCAAGAGCAAAGAAATGTTAAACCCAGAATACAGTGGTTACCTCTATGAGATAAGCAGGAGATAATTAGGAGTAAACACATATGGACCTGTGAATTACTGGTCATGTTTTGGTTCTTGAAATGGTTAGTAGTTGCACAAATGTTTAATAAACTGTTCTTTGAAATTAATATGCAAGTTAGATCTATTCTGTTTTTATAGGATTTTTGTTCTCCGTAAGTACAATGAAATGTGTTAACTTTTAACTGTACTCAATGAGTTTGGACAATGTATCTATGAAGCCCACAGCCCTGTAGAAATTATCTTCATACCAGAAGGTATTCTCATGTTCCTTCTCCAACAACCCCTGCTCCTACTACCCATGCAGCTACTACTGTATTGATTCTTTTTTTTTTTTTTTTTTTTCCACAGGCAGAGTGGATAGTGAGAGAGAGAGACAAAGACAAAGGTCTTCCTTTGCCATTGGTTCACCCTCCAATGGCCGTCGCGGCCGGCGCGCTGCGGCCGGCGCACCGCACTGAGCGCACCGCACTGATCCGATGGCAGGAGACAGGTACTTATCCTGGTCTCCCATGGAGTGCAGGGCCCAAGCACTTGGGCCATCCTCCACTGCACTCCCTGGCCACAGTAGAGAGCTGGCCTGGAAGAGGGGCAACTGGGACAGAATCCGGTGCCCCAACCGGGACTAGAACCCTGTGTGCCGGCGCCGCTCGGCGGAGGATTAGCCTGTTGAGCCGCGGTACCGGCCCCTGTATTGATTCTTTACCACCATTAGTTAAATTATTTTTTTTAATAACTGGCTGTCTTACACCACTAGAATAAACATTTTTTGAAGGTAGAAATCTAGATTTCTTATTCATTAGTACACTATTAATACGTAGAATAAGTTTTAGCACATGGAACATGTTGAATAAATGAAAAGAAAGAGTTATAATGAGGTTAATTAAACTGTACATATAAACTGGAAAAAGAGAACTTCAAATACAACATTCCAAGAGTTAATATTTTCAAAATTCATTCATATACAATGGAATTTTAATTGATCATCAGATCAATAAATATCCACAATGATGTATCAGATCAGAAAAATACTAATCTTAGGGAGACAAAAGACCTAAAAATAATTTTCAATCCTTTCTTATTGCAACTAATTATATGACAAAACTCAGCTTCCTCAATAATTAATTGCTACCAAAGTGACTGTTAAAAATAAGTTTCACAAAATTACAAAACAAGCTAGACCTTAAAAGGAAAAACAGAATTTAGACTATAACAAACAGGACATTCTTGGCAGGGAGAAAGGCATTAAAAAATATGGAAGGAAGAATGCACACAGCATGTTCCTGGAACAAAGCATAGACAAGTCTGGCTGGAATGGCAGGTTCAGATAGACCAATGTTTCTTAACTTTTCTACAGAAATGCCCTAAATGACAGTGCAGTTATCTCTAAGGGTCAAAAATATAAAATACACATGAAATCTTACATTTACCTTTAATATCCATGTGAATGTGTGTAGTACTCCAAAATAGAGCCATTTTTGTTTATTTTAAAAATATGCCAAATGTTCATATTCCACATAGATATATTATATTTTTCCTGCAGTTACTTATATCTTAATCTTGGTAAACATAAATACAAGTAAAGTAAAACATAAAAGGAGTTTGTGTTACCATCTGCTTTAAAGAGCATTCATACTTTTTAAATGTACTTGTATCACAAAAGATAAAGTTATTGGGGAAAAAAGTGCTTTGGAATATTTTTTTACTGAGCAAGCAAAAAAGAATATGAATTGAAGGGAACTATTAAAAGCATGTATACTTTGAGATAATAAAAGATTTGATCTTTTATTCTTCCTTTTTTTTTTTTCTTTTTGGACAGGCAGAGTGGACAGTGAGAGCGAGAGACAGAGAGAAAGGTCTTTTTTCCGTTGGTTCACCCCTCCAATGGCCACAGCGGCCAGCATGCTGCGGCCAGCGCACTGCACTGATCTGAAGCCAGGAGCCAGGTGCTTATCCTGGTCTCCCATGGGGTGCAGGGCCCAAGCACTTGGGCCATCCTCCTCTGCCTTCCCGGGCCACAGCAGAGAGCTGGACTGGAAGAGGAGCAACCAGGACAGAATCCGGCACCCCAACCAGGACTAGAACCCGATGTGCTGGCACCACAGGTAGAGGATTAGCCTACTGAGCCACGGCGCCAGCCTATTCTTCCCTTTTTTAACACCCTATATCCAATCTATCAGTACATACTGACAGTCTTACTTCCAAACTATATTTCAAACCTATTCACTTTTCTCATCTCCACATCTGTCACTATAAACTAAGTAGCTATCCTTTCTCTCAACTGCTGCAAAATCCTATTTTCCCTAAGTCCATTTTGCTTTGCAACAACCCAATCTCCACAAGAGAGAAACAGTAGCATTTTTAAAATGTGACTAAAATCCTATTCTAAAAATCCTCTCAAAATTCTCTAGTGGCTTTACTATTACACTCTGAATAGAATTCTAAGAGTTTTTATAATCTATCTGCTGCCTACCTTGTCAGCATTATCACACATCTCTTATTTGCTCCAACCACGATTCAATTATAGGCTTTTATAATTTATAATTCAAAAAAGGAGCTCATGGGTTAGGTAAGAAGTTAAAAAAAATTAGCCTATGTGTTTTTGAGAAAAGGCCTGAAGACCACTGCCTTCTGTAGAAGTTCCTGAAGGCCGGCGCCACGGCTCAGTAGGCTAATCCTCCACCTTGTGGCACTGGCACAGCGGGTTCTAGTCCCGGTCGGGGCGCCGGATTCTGTCCTGGTTGCCCCTCTTCCAGGCCAGCTCTCTGCTGTGGCCAGGGAGTGCAGTGGAGGATGGCCCAAGTCCTTGGGCCCTGCACCCCATGGGAGACCAGGAGAAGTACCTGGCTCCTGCCATCAGATCAGCGTGATGTGCTGGCTGCAGCGCGCAGGCCACGGCGGCCATTGGAGGGTGAACCAATGGCAAAGGAAGACCTTTTTCTCTGTCTCTCTCTCTCACTGTCCACTCCGCCTGTAAAAAAAAAAAAAAAAAAAAAAAAAAAGTTCCTGAAGCCCAGCATTTTGCACTTCAAAGTCCTGCCCAGACCACCTTCCAGGTGGTCCTAGCCCTTCCCCACCAAGGCAAACTCCCAGAATTCTCTCTCCTCAGGACCAAATGGGTTATCTGACCTGATAACATGAGGCGATAAAACCTTCACAGATATCCTAAGGGAAGACCCTCTACTCTGCCTGGTGCCAGGAAATCTGGGGAGGAATTTGCTAATTTTCACCCAACAAACACTTCCACTAGGACTCCACATCCATTGTCCTGGAGGAGGCAGAAGGTGGGTAAACAGACTCCCTTAAAAACTGGGAGTCTAAACAAAGACTACAGGTTCAGTCCTCTGCTTTGTGCTGATCCTTCATTCAACAATGTAACCTCACTCTCCCCCAGTCCCAGAGACTGGGCAATCTCTTCCTATCCCTTCAGTTCTGATGGATGCCCTATCCCCAATAAAATCTTTGCATTTCACTATCTCTTGCCTGAATTTTTTCTTGCATGGAGACAAGAACCCCACAGCTTCCATAGCCTTTTCTCTGATGACATCTTCTCCAAAAATCTATTCTTTGCAGCCAGAAAATTCTGGAGATACAGATCTTACTTGGTATTTAATGAATGAATGGTATACTCATGAAAATAACAAAATAACACAGTACAATTAAATTTGGTCCGCAGAAAACTCAAA